TTTCTCCTATAGAATTCGGATAAGACCGAGATATTACTTATTAAGGACTTTAATGTAGCGTGTTTGGCTGTAGATCAGAATATTAGAGGATTTACCATGAACCGCCCTGACCCATTGTTTTGACACGCCGCTCACTTAAAACGGTAGAAATGGTAAAATGCTGCTACCGTTGTTATATGTCGGTTCGCGGCTGTAGTGAATCCAGGTAAGACAGGAACACCGATCTGAATGATGATTTTTTTATGTATTTGCTCCGTAATAAAATGTGTGGTAAAGTTCTGACTGTGATGGACTCTTATTTCGGTCTCTGTGTGTGTGTGTGGGCAGGATCTTGCGACGCCGGAGTGCTTCTCTCGTCACCCCAGCCGCGTCTGGGAGTTCTACCAGTACCGCCGAGAGCTGACCCTGAACGCCCCGCCGAGCGCCGCGCACAGAGCCATCGCCGAGTGTGAGGCGCGTCTCAGCAGACAGGGCCGCTCGCTGGTGGTGATCACGCAGAACATCGACGAGCTGCACCAGCGCGCCGGATCCAGACACGTGCTGGAGGTCCACGGTCAGAGCTCACAAACACGACACACCATCACAGAGATCGACATCAGCAGAGGAATAGAGTTTGCTGTCAAGATCAGAAATACTGAGTATAGTCCTAGAAGAAGCTTAGACTCCCCGTGGCAAATACGACTGTTCACCCTAAAATCTGTTGTCATTGTATTGAGGATCTTTCTATAGGTGTTACAACTTAGAAATGAGGCTCCTGTTTGAAGCACATGCAAACTATAGTCTTGCATTAACAACAACATTTTCTATTGGAGTAATATTGATAGCTTCAAATACTGGAAAAGAGCTTGAATTTCACTTTCAGAAAGGTGGATGAACACTGAAATTACGTTTTGCTTAAAATAAAGGATTCGTTTTGAGGAGCATAAATATTTTCTCTATACATCTCTATATATAAAGTCGTCCAGCTCTAATCTGCTAAATGACACTATAAGGCATTAAGATAGTAAAATATTATAAACATTAACATCATGATTTCCTGGAACGCTGCTTTCTAATAATGTGTGCTGTGAAAAGCACTTTTCAGATTTGGTGTGACTTGTGGACGCAGCATGACATTAAAGCAAAGCTTTGATCTCCACTAGATAAAACTTAATAAATAACCTCAATAAATACAATATGTCTCATCCTTGTAGTTCAGTCTGCTTTGAATAGACATCCATAGTCTGTGGCTGCGGTTATACCGACTCAATCAGCAGAACTGAATAAATGGATTTAGTTTTGGATTTGGTTGGTTAGCATCTTTTTTGGTGTTCGTTTGACAGATGTGTTGAAATCTTGTGCTGTGTGTAGGAAATCTGTTTCAGACCAGATGTTTGAGCTGTGGAGATGTGGAGATCAATCACAAAAGCCCCATCTGTCCATCACTGGAGGGCAAAGGGTAGGTGACGCTCATCTGTACCCAGAAATCATTACAGTGCAGATCCCAGAGACTCGCTGTATTCAGTGAAATGCTGGACAGTCCACCATAGCAGCTCCGTTAATAACGCTGATCTAGACTGGGATTGATGAAGCATTGGTCAGCATGATGACTGTGTTGATGTATCATGTCTGTCACCCTTCATTCTCTGCCAGATCACCTGATCCTGACGCACCTGACGCGCTCATACCTGTCAAAGACCTGCCCAGGTATCCCAACAACACAGCACACACTAAACCGAATTCACCCAAAAGAGAAAATGTGCTGAAAATGTGCTCACCCTCAGTCTGTCCGAGATCAGGATGAGTTTGTTTCTTCATCAGATCTGAAGAAATGCAGCATTGCATCAGTGTCTCAGCAATGGATGCTCT